ACGACTATTGAACTAGTGACGGTAAGCCTTTTTTAATTTTTGACAAGTTTTTTCGTGCGCGAGTGTAAATTTTAAGATATTAAGGATTTGCAAAATATATCAAAGTTTTTTTCGCACCGTCTATGAATCGATCGAATTAATTGCCGGCAATTTGCAGTTTCCTAGTCGTTATCCTGCTTTATGCTCATAAAGCAAAAATTCAATGCCATGAACAAATCACATTAGGACTTAAGCGACCTGGGATTATTCAAAATATATATATGCTTTCGTTGGCATAGAAATCATTTTTTGAATACAGATGAATGCAAATTATTGTGGAAAAATATTTGCATGTTATTTAGATCGCATGAAGTGATACCACAGTACTTCCTCTACTTCTAATAATATGAAATTATTAGAAGGATTTTGTTTCAAATACCTTTACTATTGTTCAAATTCTCATCGACCTTATTTTAATAAGCTCGAAGTACTGCAAGCCAAACTTTTTCAAAATAAGAACCTAATTTACAAAATAACTAGGGAAAAGTCAGTTTCGTGCGACTTATTTTCCTTTTCTGTGCAAATAGGTTTGCGCAAATCGAGATGAAAGATCTAATCTTTTTGATGCTTATGGAACCTACGTTACTAAGTTTAAACCTGGTGAGCTGTTGACTTTAGTGTACTTTAGTGTATCTGAATGTTAAGGAATCGCTGCTTCAAAATGTTTAGATAAATTCTTTTTGTAAATATATGATGTATTCTAGACGTTGTTTTTATCGCTGTTCTGTTTCTGCGCTCTAATATTCATCTTAAAAAATGAGGTTAAAGATTCAGTTAGCAAATCATTTTGTAATTAGAATGCGTGAAATCATAATTATAATACGATTTCATGGTTCTTTCTTTGGATTATCAACAATTATAATCATTTTTTACACTGTTGTACCCCTACAGAAGCTTATTGTCTATTTAATTACATACTATGATTTGCATATTCGAATCAATCAAACGTTAATTAATTAATGAATTGTTGTAGAGTGTACCAAAGATAATGGTTTACGTCCAACGTTCTTGCGGTGAAAACATGGTTTATACTGAGCAGTGTGGTTATCATCCTATTTCCGGTTATAGGAAAAATTGCCAAGAAATAACCAAATGTGCTTGTGAAAGCGGATATTTTTTTATCGAGGATGGTTTATGTTCAAAAATGCCGACGAAAGCCTTGCATTTGGTGCTACTGGCGAAGCAAGCAAAAATAGCGACACGAATATTATAGCAATTTAAATCGCAAAATTTTTCTTATTTTATGGCAACATGGCAAATTATTCACAGATCATAGATAAATGTTAAATGATTTCTTATTTATATCCACTTTTCTTATAAATTCTTCGAAAATACACAAACGAATACAAAAAGATTTAAAAAATTTAACAAAATATCGATGGTAAAATAGAAACCAAAGAAATTTCGTGAAACACAGCACCAGCACCGCGTCAAAATCGCGTCTAATTATTAGTTGCTGATTATTTTTTTAAAGAAATTCAAAATAAAAAATCCCATCGAAAACCGTCAATGGAAAATTATTTAAAATTAAAATTTCGCAATTCTATTTTCGAATTAAAATTTCAGTGTGAATCTCAATAAAATTGGATTTCATGATTTTTGTCACGAATTACTGGAGTTTTGAAATTTTCAGCATTAAAAGATTTAATTGTTTAGGCGAAAATTTAACAAATTTTCAATTATTCTATGGCATTACAAGAAAACTTAATTTCTTAAATTCTATTAATATTTAGAAGAAAGTATTTCTAAATGTGAAATATGCGAGAATAAGGTCGAACATTGTAATTTCGTATTTAATAAATATTAATAAATATTAAATTATTAAATTGAATATTTAATAAATATTAAATTAAATTAAAATAAAAGTTGGAGTTTAATTAATTTAAAATTAATTCGAGGCATTTATTCCTGATTTAAGTTTAGTTGTTTCGGAAATATCACTCAAAAAACCTCTCTCTTTGCCTTCCACTATTAGCTAAAAACTCTAAGCTATTTTCTACTTTTTTTCCAATTGCAACATTCTAATTATAAACGCTTCTGGTCTGCTTCTTTCGTAGAATTTTTTTTGAGCGACGTGGAATACAGTTCTAGAGATTTATCTAATTTTCTTCATATAAAAACCATGCTTTTGATGATTATAAATTTTTTTAGAAGTCCTTACCATTACTGGTTAAATTCGGTTTATCGCACTAGACAAATATGCTATAGAGTCGCATGGCGATAAAAGTGCCGTTGAATCGCTAGTAACTTGAATTTTTCGATAGTGTTACACTTGTGAGAATAGAGGGAAGAAAGAAGAAAACCTCGGTGCTCTGAACTAAAAAACAACTAAGCCATTGCCACAATTTCTATGGAACGAACCATTTGATCAATAATTTACAATCATAAATTTATAAGTAACTGAGGAAGATGATGGTCTGTTTCGACTTTCGACCTAAGCCAAACATTGCAAGTTCCATTCATATTCCTCTTTTAATCAAAATTAAAATCATAGAGGTGCAACTTCCATTTTGTTCTATTTACAATGATTTTCTTGTGAAGATTCCTAAGAGAAAATGAAACCAACTAGAAATAATGAAAAAATAAGCACTTACCACTTCAAATTAAGTTCTTTCGATTTGCTAATTCTTCCAATAATAATCGATACTTAAGCTCGAATATGGCCAACGCGTCAAGCATTACCTGGCAGCAGTACCACTAAAAAATAAAAGGAAATAATGGCTGACCGGTTATTGCAAAATTTTTTAAAATTTTTATTTGTATTTTAATAATTACATAAATGTTATTAGGTCTATTAATTCTTTTTATAAATTTTTTATTAATAAATATATGAATAATCTTATTTTTTTAATTGCCATAATATGCAAAGCCTTTCGTATAGGAGGAATTTCGCTAAAACTAAAGCGTGAGTGGACTCGATTCTTGCATCAATGCGACAGTAGTGAATTTTTCATCAAAAATAAAATCTTCCTAACAAGATTTATTGAAAATAAATTATATATAAAAAATATAAAAAAATAAAATGAAAAATGATTGAAAAATTGCAAAAAATAAGATAGAAATTTTATGAAAAAAAAATTGTATGAATCTTAATTAATTTAATAAATCCCAATCCATTTTTTTACGGCGATAAATCGAGCATTTCGAGATTACTAATTCCAATTTATTTTAATATAATATCCACTGAAATAAATAAAATATTTTAATATATAAATATTTCAAAATATTTTAATACAATATCTACTGAAATTTTTCGCACAAATATTGCGGAATCGGCGAAAAATCAACCAAATGAAAATTTTTAAAATATTAAAATATTTTTTTAAATTATGAAAATTTTAAATTTTAATAAAAATTTGGATTAAAAAATGTAAAAATAAGAAATTCACAAAAGTGTCAATCAAACGTCAAAGAATCTCATTATCAAACTTATCACTATTAATTATTAAACCTAAATATCAAACAAAAATTTTTTATGAAAAATATATTTTTGAAGAAAAAAACAGACCGAATGTCGCGAATTCATTCGAATTCCCCTAATCGAATTCGAATTCTCATTGATTTCTTTGCAAAGATTCCTAACAGAAAATGCGATCAACGAAACTAGAAACGATGAAAAAATGAAAAGCACCTATCACTTCAAATTAAGTTCTTTCGATTTGCTAATTCTTCCACTAATAATCGAGATTAAGGCTCGGATATGGTCAACGCACTACGCATCGCCTGGCAGTGGTACCACTTAACGAAGAAAATAAAAGAAAATAATGGCTGACCGGTTGTTGCAAAATTCGGAGCGCCGATACTGTGGTGCCCGTTTTAGCTGTTGATAATTTCTTCGAACATATCGAAACAAAAAATTCATTTAGTCCTAAACCATAGTGCAAACTATAGGGAATAGCAGATAAATACTAAATTTTGAATATTTCTGTCTTCAAATTCAAATTTCAGCACAAATCTCCATCGAATTGGATTTCAGTTTTCTGCTATGAATTATTGAAGTTTTCGCAATATCAAATTTAAAATAATTTAATATTTGTTTAATCATTTTTTTCAGTAATTTTGTAAAAACCATAAATTTTTAAAGAAAAATTGGAATTTCGTTGACATAACTGAGTGGCTGAAAAAACAAATTTTTCTTGGATTTGAGAATATTAAAATTAAAAATTTGAGAAAATTTAAAATAAATCACAATGAAATCGACCGACCTTATATAACTTTAAAAAATCATTTTTAGCGAATTCGTTAACTCCAAAATTAAAGTATTTCGAGAACTTTAGATTTTTTCTATTTCATCGCACCTTCAACTTTTTTGCTTGCATTTCATCGGTGCAAGTTTGTGCATATAGGGAACTGACGGACTCCTTCGATAGAAACCTTTTGCTCCATATTCAATATTCAACACGGATTCGATTCTTACGTCA